ATGAAAATTAGCCAGGCATGATGGCGTGCACCTCCCTACTATTACTCAGGAGACTGAGACAGGAGAATTGTTTGAACCAGTAGGCGGAGGTTGCAGTGAGCTGAGATCGCGCCACTGCACTCCAGCCTGGGTGACAAAGCAATACTCCATCTCAAAAAAAAAAAAAAAATCACATTGGCACAGGGAGGAAGATGGATTAGAAGGGAATGAGACATGTTTGGAAATGATAAAGGTCTGAATAAGCCAAAGGGATAACGGTGGAAGGAAGATAATTTTAAAAGGAATAAAAGGTTTATTCCTTTTAAACCTATTACATTTAAGATACCCAAGGAATATCCAAGTTAAAATGTATGATAGGAAGTTAGAAATTTGAGTCTGATGCTCATAAGATAGACCTGGATGTAGCAGCATTCATAAGTGAGCACTGACTGAAGCCACAGGAGTGAATGACATTGCTTTAGAAAAGCATGTGGAGTGGGGAGTAAGGGGGCCAAAGGCTGAATTCTGGGAAATAACAGTATTTGAAGCCAGGAGTAGAAAACACATTGGAAGGGCTGGGTGCGGTGGCTCATGCCTGTAATCCCAACACTTTGGGAGGCTGAGACGGGCGGATCACTTGAAGTCAGGAGTTCAAGACTAGCCTGGCAAACATGGTGAAACCGCATCTCTACTGAAAATTCCAAAGTGTTCACCTGGAAACACTTTGACAGCCATCCTGCTAGTGTGTTAAGCTTCTGTGAGTAAGGTACCAAGGATTTCCTTCTTTGAGCAGAGTTATAAAAAATTAGCTGGGCATGTTGGTGGGCACCTGTAATCCCAACTACACGGGAGGCTGAGGCAGGAAAATCGCTTGAACCTGGGCGGCGGAGGTTGCAGTGAGCCGAGAACACGCCATTGCACTCTCTAGCATCAGTGACAGAGCAAGACTCCGTCTCAAAAACAAAACAAACAAAAAAACCCACACACATTGAAAGGATGGCTGGGGTGCAAGGAGCTAAGGAGTGAAGAGAGATGCTGGCTGGGGTGCAAGGAGCTAAGGAGTGAAGAGAGATGCTGGTGAAGAATCTACTGTTTTAAGAAGGTTGGATGAGAAAGAAAAAGAAGCGAAGGGTAAAGCAAGAGAAGGCTGCTGAGTGGAGGAAGATTTTTCATTTTATTATGTCTGCTGGGCAAAGATCAGTGAAGAGGTCGAAGTTAGTTACAGGAGAGACTGGGAATGATGGATGGAAGTGGGGAAGGACAGGATACAATGCACACCGGCAGGGACTAGTCCTAGGCAACGGAGGTAGAGAGCATTTACTCTTCCAAAAAGGACAAAGGAAATCAGAAAGAGTCTAATTTAGTGCTTCTCACATTAGAATCACTGAGGTAACTTAAAAACAATGCCAATAGCTGGGTCACACCTCAGATGTTTCTGGATTAATTAGTCTGGGATGGTCCTGGGCACTGATGTGTTTTCAAAGCTTCCCAGGTGATTAAAATCTGCAGTCAAAGTTCACAACCACTGGTTTAATTGTAGGTAACATTTTAGATTCATGATAATGGGATTGGATTTGAGGAAACTCACACTTAATAAAGGTTGGATGAATAGGGAGTGGTCAAGGTTTCACAGATGAGGAAAGGAGAAAAAGGAGGAAGCTAGAAGGG